CGCTGGTATGAATTCTTTAATGTCCAAGAAATTGGTAATCATGTAGAAAGGCCTTCTCACATTCCTTACATCCAAAGGGTTTCTCGCCAGTGTGGATTCTCTGATGTACTCTAAGGTCAGTACCACAACTAAAGCCCTTTCCACATTCCTTACATTCATACAGTTTCACCCCAATATGAATTTGCTGATTTTCAATAAGTTGGTACGGATGTCTGAAGGATATCCCACATTGCTCACATTCAAAGGTTTTCTCGCCTGGATGAGTTTTTTGATGTTGAGAAAGTTGCAGATGAAGTCTAAAAGCCTTCTCACATTCCTTACATTCACAGGGTTTCTCACCAGTATGTATACTCTGATGCTGAACAAAGTTTGAGCCACAATTGAAGGCCTTTCCATGTTCCTTACATTCAAAGGGTTTCTCACCAGTGTGAATTTGGCAATGTTCAGTAAGTTGGTAATGGTATCTAAAGGCCTTCTTACATTCCTTACACACAAAGGGTTTCTCATTAGAATGAATTTTCTGATGCTGAATAAGGTTTGAACCACGATTAAAGCCTTTCCCACACTCCTTACATTCATATGGCTTCACACCGGCATGAATACTCTGATGCTGAATAAGGTTTGAGCTACGATTAAAGGACTTCCCACATTCCTTACATTCAAATGGTTTCTCACCAGTATGAATGTTCTTATGGCGATTAAGCTGCACAAGAAGACTAAAGGCCTTTCCACATTCCATACATTCAAAAGGTTTCTCACTAACATGAAATTTCTGATGCCAAATAAGTTGCATATGAAGTCGAAAGGCTTTCCCACAGTCCTTACATTCAAAAGGTTTCTTTCCAGTATGAATATTTCGATGTTGATTAAGATTTGAACAACGACAAAAGGATTTCCCACATTCCTTACATTCAAAAGGTTTCTCATCAGTATGGGTTTTTTGATGTTGAGAAAGTTGTAGATGAAGTCTAAACAACTTCCCACATTCCTGACATTCACAGGGTTTCTCACCAGTATGAATACTCTGATGTTGAATAAGGTTTGAGTTACGATTGAAGGCCTTCCCACATTCCTTACATTCAAATCGTTTCTCACCTGTATGAATGTTTTGATGTCGAACAAGCTGTGTCAGAAGACTGAAGTCCTTTCCACATTCTTTACATTCAAATGGTTTCTCACCAGTATGAGTTTGGCAATGTTCAATAAGTTGGTAATGATATCGAAAGGCCATCTTGCATTCCTTACACACAAATGGTTTCTCATTGGAATGAATTTTCTGATGCTGAATAAGGTTTGCACCACGATTAAAGCCTTTCCCACACTCCTTACATTCATATGGCTTCACACCAGCATGAATACTCTGATGCTGAATAAGGTTTGAGCTACGATTAAAGGACCTCCCACACTCCTTACATTCAAATGGTTTCTCACCAGTATGAACGCTCTTATGGCGATTAAGCTGGCTGAGAAGACTAAAGGCCTTTCCACATTCCTTACATTCAAAGGGTTTCTCACCAGTATGAATCTTCTGATGCCGAACAAGCTTTGTAAGAAGAGTAAAGTCCTTTCCGCATTCTTTACATTCAAAAGGTTTCTCACCAGTATGAGTTTGGCAATGTTCAATAAGTTGGTAATGATATCGAAAGGCCATCCCACATTCCTTACATACAAAGGGTTTCTCATTGGAATGAATTTTCTGATGCTGAATAAGGTTTGAACCACGATTAAAGCCTTTCCCACACTCCTTACATTCATATGGCTTCACACCAGCATGAATACTCTGATGTTGAATAAGGTTTGAGCTACGATTAAAGGACTTCCCACACTCCTTACATTCAAACGGTTTCCCACCAGTATGAATGTTCTTATGGCGATTAAGCTGCACAGGAAGACTAAAGGCCTTTCCACATTCCTTACATTCAAAATGTTTCTCACCAGTGTGGAATTTCTGATGTTGAGTAAGTGGTATGTGAAGTCTAAAGGCTTTCCCACAGTCCTTACATTCATAGGGTTTCTCTCCAGTATGAATACTCTGATGCTGAATAAGATTGGAACCATGACTAAAGTATTTCCCACATTCCTTACATTCATATGGTTTATCTGTATAATGAGTAACAGAAGTATGAGGAGTATAAGTAAGCATTTTTTCATAGCTGATCCTTGGATCCAAGCTTATCCTTGGATTAGTATATCCTTCTTGATGTCCCTGTAGTCCCTCAGATCTGCTTCTATATTTTGAGTCAATTATAAAATGGGAGGCCTCAAGGCCAAGAGTTTTACTTATTTGCTTTATACCCTGTTTGGATAAATTTATTTCTGAAATATCATTTTCTGGAGATATTTCCTCAGTTCCATAATATGACTCCCAATCTGAAAGAAACAGAAAAAGCAAACGTATTTTATTTTCCTGTAACATACATGCCTAGAAAATCCATTAAACATATGGCCTGACTCTGAAATACTTCCAGAGATTTGAAAAAGAAAAAGAAGAGTATCAATAATGAAGAAAGTTTATGTAAGACAGTGATGTTTGTAATAGGGGAATAAGTTAACTTTGTAAAATTTAGGTGTGAATCAAAATCATTTGGTAAACTTGTGACAAATATTGATATTCAAGCAACTCAGATGTACAGAATCAGAATTTTTAAGGATAAATCCTAAGAAGCTAAATTTTAACATCTCTATCAGATGACTCTGCTTCGGATCAAAGTTTAAGGATCATG